TTGACTTGTAAATATCGGTAGAGTACCAGAACTAGATTTTCACCTCTTTAGGGCTCGGCCATCCACCGACCAGCCCTCCCAGAACGCGGGAAGGTGACCACGGGGATCTCCGAGCTCGCTTTCATCAAGTTGCTCCTGGTGATGGACTGGGGGAAACAGGGCGATTCTGTATCAAGTCGTGAACGAATGCCGATCCTGTCAGCAACACCAAACGATCCTTCAAGTTCTTCGGATGGACTGACGAGACCAAGTAGAGTCTTCGGAGTAAACTGGTACTACTGGGAGAGATGCTGTCGCAGAGCAGGGTTTCAGACGTTTGGCAAACAGTGGGGTTCCCGCCTCAAATGCCGCCGCGCCCAGTCACTTGAGGCGCCAGTTTTGGCAGTTTGGTCGCTGTCTACGGAGTAGCTGTGTGGTGTTTTCTCCCACCTAGGTCCAGCCTGTCAGCCCCTCGACTAGCCTTCCACGCTTCTCAGTTATGAGAAAAGGACTTGTTCCGGCTTGCGGTCAATGGAGCGAAAGAGTCAAAAGTGAAGAATGAGTGGAAGCAGGGACGTTTGTAGATCTCAGTTTGGCTGCCGGCGCGGGAGCTTGGCGCTAGATCCGAAACGAGACTAGCGTCATGCCAGTCGGCTCAAGCGCTGCGGGCCAAGCGGTCTCTCATTCTCTGCCAAGCGAACATTCAACAGGGCATGTGGGGACCGAAAACAGACGACCTGGGCCGAAAAGCCTCTGGTACGAGAGTGACGGGATTACTATGGCAGGGGGCGAATTGGGCTTAGCGTCTGTCACTTTCTTCGCCGTAGACCGTGGACCGTGGGCCCCGTCCCCTGTAAATCTCATCCGCGCCTGCAGAGAGCATTATGCAGGCAAGGAGGCCCACGACAGAAATTGGCAGATAAGCAATACTGCCCTTGCAAAGGCTATCCGCATTTTGCAGGTGCAAATCAAACAGCAATTGCCATTGACGTTGACTGGAGAGAAAGAGCAGTAAGATTTGAGGAATTTGGAGAGAGCTCGTGGTGTCTTGACTTTCCCGTCGTTGACTGGCTAAAGCGGATCCACCACTCCGAGTGGATAGAGAGTCAGAGACTACGGAGTACCTAGGGTGTCTTAGGTCAGGTGCGAACCGGGAACATACCGCGCCCGGAATGGAATGTGCAATGGGCCCCACATCAGTGTGCTTCTCTCCGCCGGTCTTTTTCTTGTCCAGAACATCTCAAGGGGCTCCAGGCTCTTTCCATGATTGTCTCTGCCACACTCAGACACAGCGCCAGACACTCGACAGGGTGCTCCCACGTACCTACCAAGACACTCATACCGGTATTGAGCTCGTCGATGGCTATTCAAGGCATCAGGTAGCCACCGTAGTCTATATATTTCCTTTTCCAACATGGTGTACCGCCGATTGTCACGAGTATAAGGTACGGAATCCACTTGTTTATTCAACCGCCTTACCTCGCCAAAACCCGGCCTGCCAAAGTGCTTCCCGCTGTCTCTTGGTGGGCATGTCGGCTAGCGGCAACTGATCCTACATGACGAAGGATTCCCTATGATGTAGTAGGTATTCGTAGGGATACTTGGATAGCAACTCAAGTAAGATGAGCTAATGTCGCTAGATCTACAGTTACCTTTCCAAACGCCTCTTTTGTCCCTGTCACAACAGACACGCCGGCACGTTATCTGAATTAAAGATTAAGGTTCTGCTAACGGGGATACACATTTCAGTTTCCCCGGAAAGGCAACCGGCCAAACCTTTTGCGTCCGAGGCAAGTCAGAGTCGACTTGTCAATAGTTCAAGACACCGAAGAAGCTTCCCGTCTCGCTGAACTTCGGTCACCGATGGCTGTTCCCTTACAACCGCTTTCGTCTCTTGGCAACCTACCTTTTTCCTGACCTAGGTATTTCTTCCCCCTCAGAACCTTGTTTAAGTTGTTTCCCTGTTTACATTAGTCTGTTGGGAAACTCGAGTTGATCTCAGCATTTCTTGTCAGGCATGGCCGTGTCAACAACCCCATCTTGCCAATCTGTCCCGGACACTGAGCGACCCATCAGTTTGCAACGCTGACTCGCACTTTTCTATTGCCACTGAGAAACTGCGGGTACCAGACAGATATTGATTATTATTGACCATCTGTGCTACGGAGTAGCTACGATATCTTTATCGACCAACAACGGCAGAGTCTTTAACCCCTTGGCCTCTTGCTATCAGAGCTTTCCTCTGTGCTGCCGTTTACTCACGCTTATGGATACCAGGGCCACTATTCCTGGTCTCGACCGGCGCCGCTGACGGCGACCATGTGCCATGGGCGCCTCTTCAAGCCCTTGGCTTGCGGATTGTGGATACGGTTCCTTGCCAACGGAAAGCCCCCGACTTCCCCGTCACCCGGGATGCTTGATGACTTCACCTCGACTTCCGTGATACAGTTGGTCCCTCCGCTCTTCGTCTCCTCTACTATCAGTTGATGTCCGTATCGTATTCACGTTGCGCCGTATGCAACGTTCTGAACGGCCAGCGCTGTGTCCATAACAAGAGACATACAAGTGCAGTCCTGGGACAGTTGTCTATCGCCATTAATATCCTAGAATACAGATATTACATCACACATTCATAGACAACTATAACTTATCCGAGTTGACGAACATCCCACGACCATGCGCGTCTTCTTCCTCGTTACCCTCAGCAACGCCAAAGGGCGCATCCCCGTTCGCGATACTTACTCCTTTTCTGCTTCTAGTTACTTGTACCTGTTCGACTATGCGGCTCCGAGCAATTTGCAAGCCAAGGTAACCAAGCCCGCGGACTTTCCAATCAACCAACCCTTCAGGCGCTCGACCCTTCTCAACGCTGCTTTTCTCCCTCAATCGCCGTTCTTGGCGGGGCCAGTCACGCCTTGCGGCAACCTTCGGTGTGCAGCTCTTGCGACCAACAGGTGAGGCACCCATGCAGGCACAGAGTCAGAGTCGAAGTCGCAAAGCACTCCGGCATACTGCGAGATGGATGCCTACCAGCCTGCGTCTCATCAGTCCTGGCACCCGCATACGAATGCATCATCCCATCATCTGTCTCTCGGAGCCGACCCCGGACCATGTAAGCAGCCACAGGCCCGCCCGCTGCGACCGCCCGGAGCTCTTCAGCCCACCTCAGCGTAGGATTTGTCGCCGGGTATGCTCAGCAGTGATCAACGCCATCGGTAGTCTCCTCTTGCTTTGGACGGATGGGTGTAGCTTCGGCTATGCTACAGGTCACATCTCCCTCCGTGCTCGTCCCATGATTTCGGTGTAACCTCCTCACCAGTATGGCATCTTTTTTGAACGATCCCATCCACCAGACAGAGTTCAAGAATGGCGATGCCTTTCAGCTAGCCTGCTTAGAAGAAGGAAGCGACCAGTCCCAAAATTGGCCTTAGTTGACTACCTGCGGGCTAGGCGTCTGCATTCTCATTCCTACGTGGATCGAGGCGACAGAGAAAGGGTTGCTGTGACCTGTTTTGTATGGTTGGGGTGGTTCGCGGCTACTGCACGTTAAGAGATATGTGCGGCCGAGTGGCTCTGATCACTCGATGAGCAGCCCCATTTTCATCCAGTCATCCCCCTCCTCAACCCCCTGGTGAGCAACAGCTGCAAGTGCTTCACGTTGTTGGCCCCAGGGGTCGCCTGATGCGGACAGGTTTCGTTGGTTGCCTGTTCTTCCTTTCCTTTGCATTTGCAGCCTCATTTTCTACTCCACATGGCCGGATATCCCAATAGATGTTGGTAACGGTCAACGGCAGTCGAGTTCATGACCGTAGGATTGCATTCTTCTCGATAGGCAACGTGCTACTTGGCCTAGATTGCTCTCGAAACCAACAACTTGACCGGCAACAAGCTTGATCGATTTCACTCTAGTTGCTGAGTCTGGTACTGCATCGTATTAGTTGCAGTGGTGTGACTCCATATGTTCCAATCGCGGACCGGCAGTGAGTAGGGCAGATCATCCGTTTCTTTTCCCCCTCATGTTATCCGTACATCTTTTTTACGCTTTCTCGTTCTCTCGTTCGGGTCTGTCATCCCCTTACACCATTGTGCAGGCATCTGGTCTCGCATATGCGCTGAGTTGTGCCACTCGGCAATGGATAGCTGCCTTGCCTACAGTACGGGTAGGCAATTCTGGTGCCACCAGAAGTCGGAAAGTGGTTCTTTTCGGTGCGCTTTGAGTTGTCTCGAAAGATCGGCGTGAAACACGGTGAATGGGTTAATTGTGTGTGTGTGCAGGGCTGCCGTGGAAGCATGGCGGAGGAAGAAGTGCTTCTTTCTGCATCCCAAGGAGGGTGCCCAGGTGGGCTGTGAGGGTTGGAGGTACATACCTACTACCCCGCATGAGACGCCATCTCATAGCCTTCTTCCTATGTCGATACTCGGACACTACTGGTACTCGGTGTTTGGCGATAGGGTAAAGGGGTACTTTTCTTCTTCGTCTTGGTTGCCAAGGTGAAAGAGACGAGACATGCACTTTACGGACCAGTCCCCTTGCCTTTGCACTTTGCATCGTGCATGAGCTCGAGCTTGCATGCAGCCATTGCTCTCTTGCTCCAGACACTAGCAATGAGACGAGGCGAGCAACGCTGACCAAACATGTAGGTAGCTTCCTTCACGACCTGTGTAGGCATTGTTCAACCGACGCTGCCTGCAATGCCCCCGTCGCCGAGTGCAATAAGTATTTGATCAAGCCCCATCCCGGACGACTGTCTGTGCAAAGCTCGCTTGTCGTTGTCTGCTCCGTCTCTTCTTCGGTGGTGAAGCAAAACTCTCCTGCTGCGTACTTGACCAGTAAGGGTACCGTCCCAGGCAACTTGTTCCCAAGTTCTGCTGTGTCATACCAGGGGTGTTCCTTCATCTCTTCGCATCTCTCTATACACAAAGCTTGTGCTATTGCTTCTGTTGCTTGCTGCTTCTTGCAACCCATTCGCTCAAACAACCCAATTCAGCTTTACCCGTCATTCCCAAAACGCTCATCAGCCATGGCTCATCAACATCAGCACCACCGCTTTGACGACGCAGCTTCCGTATCGAGTTACTCATCCGGGAGCTCCTCCCGGTCGTCCTCCAGATCATCCTCCAGCTCGGGCGGTTCCAAAAAGTCCAGATCGTCCCAGACATCCCACTCCAACATCAAGAGCGACCACTGGACCGTCTCCTTTATGAAGTGGACGACGGGCGCTCCCCCCGGAAAGCAATTGGCCCTACGAAAGACTAAAGTCTGCGACTACGAAGAGGACTGGGACTACGACGACGGCGGCGGCAGCGTGTACAGCGACGCGTCGTATATCTCCTACGCCTGGGTTAGCCCCAAATGGGACGACAGCATCTCCGAGATCGCGTCCCGCTCTAGTAGCCGATCGAGCGGTCGGCTCCGGAGGGAGCAGCGGGGTTCGGGCGGAGGCCGGCATCGGTTCCCGGTGCCGCCCGTGTCGTATCAGCCTCCTCCCCCTCCCCCTCCTCCGTTCAACCACCCGCCGCCTCCGCCTCCACCCGGTATGGCTCCCGGACCTGGGTTCCCCATGTACGATGATGAGCCTGCCTTTTTCGATGTAGATCCTGGGTATCACCAGCCTCCTCCCGCGGCAGCTTTCGGCGGCGGCGGTGATCCCGGTTTTGTGGATCTCAGTGCCGGAGGCGGTGGTGGTGGTGGTTCTCACTTCCCTGGCAACCCTGGCAAGTACGATGATTGGGAAGATTGAGTCTGTTTCCCTAGTCTCTGAGAGACTGTGTGTTCTTTCTTACTTGGTTACGATTCTTGTACGGACATACGGGCAGGCGGTTTGTTCTTTTTACTTTTGGGCTTCGACTGATGATCGATGTTGGCGTTTGACAACAAAAACACACTCTCACACATACAAACTACCAGACTCTCCTTCCCCTCCGATTGTACCCAGAACATTTTTCGAAGGGAGAGAACAGAACCTTCAAGGAAATTGGGGGGGGGGGGGGCATATAATGAATTATGATGTCTGTATCTTGCTTTATTGTTGATGATATTACGAGAGAATAAGATTATAATACTGATGTGTTTATTCGCTTGGCTGGAACAATGCTTTAAAATGCCCACGCCCAATTGGCGGCGACTCTGTTCACTATCTACTCTTTTTTTCCAACCCCATTCTGACGTGCATCTTGATATACCTCAATAGGAGCAATTTCCAGAGTCGAGACCAATGGTGGCCCTGGACAATTGAGACTGACGTACACAATGGATCATTGATCACAGCTTAGATTGGAGTATTCACAACGGCGACATGACTGGAGTGATATCATCTTAAGCAAACTCCCGATGAATTATATTACCGGCAGACGGAACTCAAGGCGGGGGAAACGGCCTCGATGCGGATACCTACCGGTTCTGCGTCATTCGGGGAAGCCGCTGTAGCTAAAGCTCGAGTGTGTGGCTGAGCATTTCTGCGCTGTTCCTCGGCTCTTTGGAGTCTAGACCACAGCCACACACAGACTTCACAGTTGGCCTCAATCCACGCATTTCACGGAGCACCGCGTCCAAATTGTCTTGATCCTGCGTCTCCGACTATGCAACTTGTGCAGCAATTGCTTCTCAGCCGCAATGTAGTAGTATTCTGGATAGTGGATATTCTCCTTTTCCTCAGTTGGCAGATCGTATACTGCAGTACTTGCATATAGAAAAAATGACCCTCGGCCTCCGCCACTTTTGATCTGTCGTGCAGGAAAGCTACCGCAGCATGGTACTAGGTAGGTATCATTGTGGAAGGCTCGTTTCGCAAGCCAATCAACGTCTGTTTAACCCATTTCAAGCGAATTCGTTTTGTCGTAGACAAAGGTCTCACTCCCTACACTTCTCTCCCCATTGGCTCACGAGGACCACCTTCACTTGAACCACTCATCTATCCCCATACTTTTGATGACTGCATAGAAACACCAACGTAGCTGTCTTACTTAGCCCAGATCTCATTCCAGAAACCTTAGTGGCTCGTCCATATCCACCTAAGACCTTGGGCCGCGCATTTCCGGCCATCCAAGAGAGCCCTGGGGTTTCTTCCCCCGGACCAGGTTCTATGTTCATCACTCAGCCTTACAAGTCCCAATACGTAGTAGTAGTCCTTAGCCGCAGGCAGCAAATGTTGCCTAGCATTTAGCGTCAAGTCCTAACTCCTTATTCCCCAGCAAAAAATATCCTCAAGGTTATAGCAGGACTTGCTTTCACGACTTTCCCTACCTCACCGCTATCCTAGCGCAGCCGGAGTGACTCAAACCATGCTTTTCACGCCTTCTCTGTTACAGGCGGCCTCAGCGACCCATCTCAAGTTCCCATATTCTGACGACCCGAATCTACTGGGCCGGCTATGCTCATTGGTGTGTGATGTGTTCCGGCGAACTTACCCGCATATTGGATGTGGTGGTTGCAAAACCCCTGCCTAACCGGCTAGACTTGTGATCACGAACGCCTCGTTGACGTGGTTGCCTCCCAAGTGAATGGGTGTGTATCTTCTTCTGTAGTTCGACTATATAAAATAGCAAACGTCTCGCACATTCAAGACTTGGAGATTTCACACACTTCACTAATTCGACATCTCCTTGTCTTTCTACTCCATACTATACAAGAGGAAGCATCTCAACTGTCTTACCTCTTATCATCAACGAGATATCTCAACCCAACCAGACCGATTGTATAACATAGACTCACATTGTTTCCCCTCGAGCTGGCCTCATTTTCTCAGCTTTTACAGACAATGGACACAATCACAGATACCGGCTACGCCGACCCCATCAACACCTCATCCAGCACAGCTCAGCCTCCTCCTCAACTGGCACTGCTGGACTTCTTCTTCCCAGGCTTCAGCGTTTTCACAACAGCCTTCCAAAAGTACCTCGGAATCGACCTAAATGTCTATATCCCCCTAGTGATCCTCTGCGGCGGCGCCACCTTTGCCTGGAGGTACTTTAGCGAGTACCTCTGGGAAAAGGTTGAGAAGCACCTCATGTCGACAGTCGAAGTCCGCACCGACGACGAGATCTACAACATCCTCATGTCCTGGGTCGCCGCCCAAAAGTTTGCCAAGAACTCGCGGCGTTTCGTTGTCAACACCAACCTAAGCTCCCGTTCCTGGTTCCTCTGGCGCTGGGACGACGAGGAGGAGGAGTCGGACGAGTCCTCCGACGGCGGCCTCGTCGAGATCTCGGGCCAGAAGAAGAAGCCCCTCGCCTACACCCCCAGCTTCGGCAGCCACTCGTTCTGGTACCGCGGTCACCTTCTCCTCTTCAAGCGCAGCCAGAACCGCGAGCAGGCCTCCTACCTCGTCGTCAGCGAGCGCGAGGAGATTAGCCTCTCGTGCTTCGGCCGCAACCCCTGGGTCCTCAAGGAGCTCCTCCAGGAGGCCCGCGCCGAGTACCTCAAGAAGGACTCGCAAAAGACTATGATCTACCGTGGGAGCACCCGCGCGGGCACCACAGAGCCTACGTGGCAGCGATGCATGGCCCGCACTTCCCGGCCTTTCTCGACCGTCATCCTCAACGAGAAGACCAAGAAGGAGCTCGTCGACGACGTCGCCGACTACCTCTCCCCCGTGACTCGCAAGTGGTACTCCAACCGCGGCATCCCCTGGCGCCGGGGTTACCTCCTGACGGGTCCCCCCGGCACCGGCAAGTCCTCGCTCTCGCTCGCCCTGGCCGGCTTCTTCAAGATGCGCATCTACATCGTGAGCCTGAGCTCCATCTCGGCCAACGAGGAGAACCTGGCTACCCTGTTCGCCGAGCTGCCCCGGCGGTGCGTGGTCCTCCTGGAGGACATTGACACCGCCGGCCTGACGCACACCCGCGAGAATGGCACAGGAACCGGTAGCGATGCCGCAGACGCCAAGGACGGAAGCGGCGACATGGTGCCCGGCCAACTGACCGTAGACAACGGGGCCAACAACACCAGCGGCCGCCTCTCACTATCCGGTCTGCTCAACATCCTCGACGGCGTCGCCAGCCAGGAGGGCCGCGTCCTGATCATGACCACCAACCACGTCGAGAAGCTCGACAAGGCCCTCATCCGACCGGGCCGCGTCGACCAGATTGTAAAGTTCACCTTGGCCGACGGCGAAATCATTGGTGCCATCTTCCGTGCCATCTACGCACCCCTCGAGGGCGACGAGGACATTGCCGCGCAGCCCCTCCAGGAGCACAAGCAACTGGTCGGTGACGCTCTTGAGGACGACGACGACGAGAAGAAGGAAAAGCTTGCCGAGCAAGCCGCCGCCCGCACCGCAGAGATCGTAGCCGCCGTCGAGGCCCTCTCCGAGACTTTCGTCGCCCGCATCCCCGCGCACGAGTTCAGCCCGGCCGAGATTCAGGGGTACCTCATGAAGCACAAGCGCAGCGCCGAGGCCGCGGTCGCGGGCGCGGCGGAGTGGGTGACAGAGACGCGCAAGGAGAAGAAGGAAAAGGAGCTCAAGGCCGCCGAGGAGAAGCGGGCGGCCGAGGCCAAGCAGAAAGAAGAAGAGGAGAAGAAGCGCAAGGAGGATGCCGAGGAGAAGGAGAAGGAGGCCAAGGAGAAGCGTAAGGAGGAGAGGGAGAAGAAGCGTAAGGCGGAGAAGAAGAACAAGAAGAGTAAGCGAAATAAGAATAAGGAGGCGGCTTCCTCTGATTCATCTTCTTCCGACTCGGATTCTGGCTCCGGCTCGGAATCGGAGGCCCCCGCCAAGGGTTCAGAGAAGAAGACTGCGGAGGAGCAGGTCGTGGTCTCGGGGGTCAAGGCCGAGCACGGGGCTGAGGATGTCACGCAAAAACGAGACTCGGGTTACGGCACTCCAGTGGAGGTTTGAGAAAGCTGGAACCCTGCATCACAATGTATTTGAGGCGTTTGTTCCTTTGCCGTTTCTATATACTTCTTCTTTTGCATTAACCGGCGTCCGGGCGGCCGGTTTAGATGGGGAGATCCGGAGGAGAACTGCGATCCCATGTCATAGCGTTACTTCTTGAGAGGGGATCTCATTTGATTTCATCAAGCTAATAGAGAGTGGCATGTCTTATGTCCATCCTCTAGTAGAAAACAATAGGCCAATGTACAAGGCATGAATCAAAGATACAACGGAGTTGTGATTGTGAATAGATATTTCAGCCATTGAATAAAGTAAATAACATTGCAACGGTACCTAGCCATGAACACAATGGCTAGCATATTGACGAATGAAGCATTGACTGCCATCAACAATCAACAACTATATCGTTGTGCTTGCTTGGGATGGGCCTACCATGTAGCATCCTAAATTCTGGCTGGAGTATCTACAAGAGCTGAGCATGCATGTCTCAGTTAATCACATTCGGCTACGTGGCAAAGGTGGGCTATTACTCAATATGGAGCCTGTTATTCGTGGTGGCCAACAACTCCTACCTGATGTGTAAAGTACTGCAGGCGCTACTGAACATTTATTCATGTCGACGAAGTGTCTAGCCCACCAGTATGTCTGATTCAAAAGAACCCCCATTTATATTTGCTCCACGCCATCACTCATGCTTTGACGGTCTCCTCCTTCTCAACTCAAATTCGACACGGGCATCGTTTCGCTCTCCTATCTCGCACAATGGCCGATGTATCCGATTCTGAGAAGTCATTCTACCGTGAATGGGAGAACAGTTTGAAAAACGACAACCGCGACATCTCAGACCTGTGGCAGGAAGCACTCAAGAATTACAAGGGCATTGTTGGGTTCGATTTGCAACGCAGCTTCGATAATGTTCAAGACATGATCAAGTTCGCAAACCAAGAAATGGAAAGATTCCATGATTACAGACACAACAAAGGAAAAGTCGACCGTTTGAGGAGTGCGTTTGCTTCCAGCCTGGGATATGTAGAGACCGCAGCCCAGATCCTTGTTCCAGCAGTTGAAGGAGCTTTCCCGCCGGCTGCTGCCATAGGGACGGCTCTGACGCTCATCATCAAAGGCTGTCGCAGTGTCACGGTGGACTATGACATTCTTGTCGTGTTCTTTGAGGACATGAACGGTTTTCTCAATAGAATCGCCATTTTAGAGACCAGGCTGCCTAAGCATCGAGCCTACCAAAACTGCTTGATGGAAGTCTTCGTCTCTATGCTTACCATATGTGGCCAAGGAAGGAAGTGTATCGACCTTCGCCGCTTCAAGAAATGGATCTCTAACCTGGTTAACGGTGACGGTGGCGAGCTCACGGAGGCAAGGGACGAACTGAAGAAGAAGCTGGACCATCTCCAGATGGCTACTCAGTTTGCGATACTAGCTAATACCGAGGCGAGAAATGATCTTATCAAACAGCTCGATGACAACCAACGGTCACACGCCAAGCTACTTGAGAGTTTTCGGAACACCATTGACAGCATCTACGACGAAACTCGGCTCAACGGCGCCCTTCTTGCAAAGGTGCTGAAAAAGCTGTATGAAAAACCAGAGGAAAAGAAACAGCTGGAGATATCGCAGACTAAGAATCATGCGCCGTCAAGAGGACTCCTGAACGGTTTGATGGCAATCGGCAATAACGACTATCAATATCAAGGTCTCAAACAGACACACATCTTAGGTTCCTGCAGCTGGCTCCCTTTGGAGGCTCAGTGGGAAAAATGGCATGAGATCGACGACGGAAAACGACCACTTCTTGTCGTCACTGGCTACCCTGGTGTTGGCAAAAGCCACTTGGCTGCAGCAATATATGAGAAGCTTCAGGAGAAGGCAAAGCAAGATACCACAGGGAACACCTGTGTCGTTCAATTCTACTTCAACAAAGATCACCACAGTCTGAGCTCTTTTCTTTGTGGTTTAATCACGCTGATTAACCAAATTGCCGAGACTAACGGCGCCGCATACCAAATTTTGGACGCTCAGATCAAGAAAGACGAGCTGGGCCGTCTCGACAGCAAGGATTGGCGGCATCTTGTCGAACATCTACTCAAGCCAGTGTTCGAGCGAAGTCTCATGCTACATGTATTTGTTGTACTGGATGCAATCAATGAAACTACGCAGTGGTCAGATCTTATGTCCTTCTTGTATGAATGCATTGGCAACGAAAAGCTCAGAGTCTCCGTAGTTGCCACTTGCAGACTTACTGACATGATCTATCTCCCTAATGGTATCACACGTCTTGAAATAGAAGTCACCAAGGAAAAACAGCGTCAAGATTTCAAGCTCTTCATCTGGGATCAGATTCAGTCCCTTAAACATCTGAAAACGTTCAGCCGCTATGTTCAACAAAGAGTCGCCGATGTGGTCGAAGAAACGTCCTCAAGTCAGTATTTCCCCTCCTTATTTCTCTTAAGAGTCTCATTACTGATTATCATTCTAGATATGCTATACGCAAGGCACCTGCTCACTTGCTTGGATGATCTTGGCCGTGAGGGAGCCGTACTGAAAGCTCTCAAGCAAAAGATGCCGCACGGCCTTCTCGGCATGTACGAAAGTCTTGTGGCCGAATCTCTGCGTCTTTTGCCCAAGAACCATCAGAAAGGTGTCGTAGCACTGCTGCAATGGATTGCGGTTGCTCGAAGAACCTTCACACTTGAAGAAATTCAGTCTCTAGCAAAGCATCTTTCACACGATAGTGCTTTCGATCTCGACAAGGTCCCTGGTCTCTTTTCCAAGTTTCTCACGGTAGGAAATCCCGGATTCGATATAGAGTCACAAGCAGTTGCGAAAACCAGCCAGGCACAAATCATCAAAGATCTGACACAGAGAGACGACGAAAATGATGGGGACAGCATATACTACGGTGGTTCGCTTCCGGTCAGACTCAGGGAAAGGTTCATGCAGGGCTACTACTTCGAAACTTTTGGTCCTAATGAACCTTTTATCGTCGAATACCGATCAAAATTTTCGGCGTACCAGCGTTTCATGTTCTTGACCTGCACGGAGTTGGCGCAATCTGATCGAACAGACATCGAGGAGGGACTGAAGCGATACTGTGCCTTGAATGCTATCTGGCACTGGTCAGGAATTAGCACCGATCGGCATACGCACGAAGAGAACGCTGAAGTTCTTGAGGCTTTTGCCAAGCTGCTTTCTAACAGAACTGGACTTTCCAGTATACTGCGACGGGCCGACGTGACGCATCCCGAGGGGAATTCCGAAAACATCAACGACGCCATCTTATACTGGAACCGAACCATTGAGAACGTAGATGTAAGAGATCGTCTTAGCCTTTTTGCGACCGAGTGGTGGCATGAAGTTGGCCAAAACCCCCCAAAGTTCCGTCTTGGCTTGGCCAAGGCATATCTGCTCGATGTATACCAGTCGGAAGGTTTGCAAGACGCTAGAAACTCGTGGAAGCGTCTTCTTTCCATACTAGAAAGAGTAAGTGCATCGATATTTGCAGCGATGTAAACGAAAAGACACAAGAAGTTGTTACTGAGATCTAGAACAGATTGGCATGAGCAATGATCTGATTTGTCAAGGTCGTGAAAACTTTCCTGAGGAGTTTGAGAATTTCAAAGATCAGAAGTCTTCCCACGATAGCAAGGCTGTTCTTGGCTGCTTGAATCTCTTCGATACAGAGATCAAACCCGACGCAAGCAGTCACCGAGCGGTAGCGGAGCTTCTTCGTGCAAGCGGTCATCTCGAGCCAGCCGAGAAGACCTGCAAAACCGCCCTTAATCTTTCCAATCTCGGAAGTCAAGACTGGTTTCAAGCCTCTTGTGTTCTTGTTGAAATTCAAATCCAAATGAAGAAGTACGATGAAGCGTGTCAGATCGCTCAAGCTGCATTCTTGGAGTTATCGAAACACGAAGTACCCGCGAAACTGAAGCGTGTCGTGTACACAACATATGGAGTCACTCGAGTCTTCCAAAAGAAGTTTGATACAGCTCTGGAGTTACTGGGAAAAGCTAAGGATTCGGATCCGGACGGCTTTACCCCAAGCGATCTTGCTGACTACCTCCATATCTCTGAAATCAAGGGAGCTGCGGCATGCATCAGAGTCTTGAAGAGCTGGAACCTCACAGAAAGAATGTCTTGGTTAGTTTTAAGGTATCAGGAAGAAGGATCGAAGACTCTCAATTTTTGCGCCCGCCTTGCCAAGCAGGCGAATGAACAGGAGTTTATCGTCAGCCTCTATGAGGAAGCAGTTAAACTCCTAGACAGACTCGACGCCGCCACACCCCTTCGGACGGACCTCGCAGTCGTCTATGCCGGGGTGTGCAATAATTCGGAAGGGGCCCTCCAAATTCTAGAGAAGGTCTTCGACAGCCGTGTTATTGGCCGTCGGTTCCCGATCACAGACGTCGATGCGAGAATCACACTTCTGACTGCGGTGGAGTTGATGGCCAACGTCCAGGTTGCGCTCTTCCAAAAGTCAAGAGATCCAGATTACAAGACGGAACGTCTCCGATCTCTTGCTGGCCTCATGCAGCGCCCATTTCCGATGCACGTTCCTCACTTGTCCACGACTTTCACCATGCCCTACCGCTTGGCTCTATCTCACATGTACATATCCATAGGCCCGTTGAAGAAGTTCCACGAAACATTGCAATCTATAATGGATGACGCTTTTTCTGGTCTTGGAGACTCTGTGGATTGGAACGACCATCTTTGTTTCTTCTATCTTGCACAAGTTCTTGCACTTCTCAGTCGAGCACTGAAAAATGATGAAGGACTCATCCGATATGCTCGAATTCTAGGCTCTGCAATATTTTCACAGCGGAACAGCGCGCATAAGGGAGGAACACATAGTGAAGGTCTGGATTCTAATGGGCAAGAAGAGAAGACATCCGCTGCTTCTGTTATAAGCAGCTCGAAAACACTGGCAGACAGCAAAAGCGATATGGACGATCAGCAGCCTGTCCAAATTGTGGCGGGTCTTCGAACACATGAGAACGGCGGCGAGAACAAGATGACTGAATATGAATCCCTGGACGAGGGAGATATATTGGATAGCGTCAAGATTGATTGTGACATTTGTCGGCAAAAAAGTCAGCTTCGAGGTTGGGGAGGTCGCTCAGGTTATATCTACCTGTTACCCGCGAGCAGCGTATTTGTATGCGGAAATTGTCAGGCTTCCATTGCGAAAGTTAAGCCCGAGGATCTTGAACTTAAAGTCGGGCCCTTCCGCATTGTCGAGTATGGCTGTCTCAAGCTTCCCATCGAGGGCTGGCGTGGGGTCAAGAATGGCATTTTGAGGTTGGACGGCGAAGAGCCGGTGCCATTCGATGACTTCTTGAAGAAGCTTCAGACAGAGGTAATCAAGAATGCATGGGATCGGATTTGGTCTAGAGAGGTTTAGGTGTGGTCGCTAGGTAGTCTGGCACTACTTCAGTCGCATGCTCGTAAGTCAGGGCAGCTAGTATGCAGTCAATAACTGTTGAGAACTTTCGGGTGGCGGTCCAAACTTGACTTGGTATATCAAATAAGATAGGTGACACTCGGCGAATGAACCAATTCACGAGAACATTGACGGCCGACTTGCCCGGCTATCTGGACTATATCCTCAAGACGGATTACGAAGACCGCTCAGGAAATAAAGCCATTAACGAAGCGACAGCAAACTCGCCGATGCAGATACAGCACCTCCTGTACCTGGCTGACATCGCCAATTTCACCAGGAACTCAGCGGCGGTCCTCACGGATCAAGCGCGCAGCAGCGACTCCGGGGACAACCGCAACATGACGACGTTTTTGCAAGGGCAGGCGTTCGAGAGTATGAACTTTTCTATCAATGCGGTGGGCGTGGTTCGCCATTCCCGTGGCGATAGTGGTGCTGTTCTTCACGACTGTTATCTTGACCAGGCAGACGCTATTGCTGGAGGATTCCTCCTTCGCGGTGTTGTTTCATCCTCTGAGGGCCTGGGAGGGACATGAAATCTATGTGGAGGGTGCGCAGACGAGCAGGAAGCTAGAGAAGTCTGCGGCAAGGCTCCATGGGGGCTTGAGACTGACAAGGGTCTTTATGGTCGAGCGTGACAGTGTTGCCAAAGATGATTCAAAAGGGTATCTCAATTGTGAAGAGCAGCAGGGAGCGTGAATCTTACAAGTCGATTGAGGCTGCTATCAATCCAAGTTGGACTCTTCCACTGTTGAGAGACAATGAGCAGAAATCTAGTCACGCTAATCCGTGCGAAGGTCATCAGAGACCCAAAGAGTCACGTCAAATATATGCGGAAAAGGCAATTAGGCGGGAGGTAAGATTTGCTGCTGAGAGAGGGGCAACACTGCCTACAAAAAGATGCCCCACGAGAACAGGTCAAAAGGTCAAGAACATACAACACCAGGTATTCGCTGGTCGTCACCGACCCAACTACTAATCCGGCCCTCATTGGCTTATCTATGGGAGAGCGGACGGGATCCCGAGTTTTCCAATGGGTATGGTCGTATGTGTTAGAGCGAGGATGATGAGTTGATGATATCCACAGACAGCGGTATTGAGTTACACCCGTAGTCTGGGCTGAAGGTTTGGAAGGCGAATGCTGACAACAACTTCGTAGCAGGCTTCTGGAAGCAAGTCACTGGAAAACGGGCAAGATGCAAGTCTAGGGTCTCAGCGGCAGAGAAGCGGGCCAGCTAAGGCAGAGCGTCATCATCAATGGTTCGATAAACCTTGGATGGGTTGTGTCCTAGATGCATGCGGTTCCCGAGCTAATAGAACGGGGACACAATACATCTGACAGTGTTTCAAGGGCAAGATCTTCAGATGATGAAGGATGTCCATGTCCGTGCCGAGTAAGTGCCTCTGCCTTGCCTTGCCGTGCTGTACATTTGATCGCTGCGCAAGGAATGGCGACGGTTCCTAAACTGGAGAAAACTAGAAACTGAGGGGAGGGGCCGGACCATGCAAACCTGGGCAGGAGGGCCGATGCGAGACCGATGCGGTGCGGTTCGGGTTGCAGGGCATGAAGAACGAGGGGTTAAAAAGAGAATTTTTTTTCTTGGACGACGTGATGGTTGTTACGCTCGGTCTAAGAGCCTCGGAGTTCGAGGCTGAAGAGAGGACTGCAAGAAGGGGCCAGCCGCCAGCTGCTTGTGACATGTCGTTACGCGGGGCGGTCCCATTGTGGATATCCGCCGGGAGGGGCCATCGTTCGGAGGACCGACGCGGCGATGCGAGGTTGAAAGCGTGGGATGCCATACCATACCTTGGTCGCAGTCGATCTGCTGTGTACGGAGTAGCAACCGCCAGTCACTCAGTCGGAGTTCAGAGTATGGGGTTGGTGGGAGAGAGATGGGCTGCAAGGATGTGATCCCCAGAAAAGGTCTCACGTCTCTTGTTTATTCCCTCTTTCTTCTTACGTATCGATGTGCGTTTGGCGAGGCGAAACTGTCCAGTTGTACAGGGTCTAAATGTCGACATGCTTGTCGCTGACGAGATGCGCACATGCGGCACGAACGAAATCTGTGCGAATCTTATTTAGTTTGTTCGCTTGTCTCTGGTCTCTGCGGAGTTTTGGCCGGGCCTTTCACCTGCTCCCCAACGTGGGTATGGCGAGGACAGGAAGCTCAGCCACGATGTACGCGAACACCATCACCAATAACACGTGGTTATGGTGGTGAGAATGAAGCCTCGTAGTTGTGTTTGGATTTTCCGCGATGCGGTGGCTTGGTGACTGGCCTGCCTGTCAGCCCTTAGTCTTCTGTTACCCTAGCACGCCTGGTAAGCTGCTTGCTGCCCTTGCAGTTCTGCAGTCAGACGCATGTGCCTGTGCCTTTTTGTGTTCCCATAAGACTCTTCCGTGCCTGTGCCTGTGCTCGCTCTAGCTGCTTGGTGAATGGTATTGGTAGTACGACTAGGCAAATTCCTATCGGCGGAAAGCAAATTGGAAATGTCAACATCGGGATGCATGGCCGTTTTGCATCAAGCTAGACTGAACAAGCTTAGCGAGTCAACGCCAGAGATGGCCGTGGTGTTGTTGAAGATGGAGCTATCAAACGATGAATCGTCAACGAGCAGAAGGGGCTAATCCTAATTAGAACTTGACCAAATCAACTGCAGTTCTGGATGCACGCCTCGGGGCAAGCGCAGCGTCTCATCCTGGATGACGCCCTGGCCAAGTCTGGGGACCTGAGAAGCCAGGCGCACTTACTGCACAGTATATGCCGCCGAGTGAAAGAATGATTCTCTGCAGCTGCCGTCGTTGCAGAAAAGCGCCAAAGAGTATCCGCAATCTTTCCGCAACTGGCGGCGTCATGCGATTCGCCTTCCGTGATAGAGTGAGAGATGAGGGGCAGAGGCGAGCGAATATTGCCCTGACGTAAGAAGCCCTGCCCTACCAAAACTTTCCTTCTTCGACGAGAAACCGCTGGAGTTGCACGGGGTCTTTTTACTTGAGGGACTTCGAACTGACGCCTGACGAATGGGTCTTGTTGTCGTTCGAGCTTGAGTTGCTGTGTGACAACTGGTCCCCTGAACTTGTATTGAATCTCCTGCTTCAATGACCAAGATCACGAGCGAAATGTCGAATAAGCGCCTCAGGGCTGCCGATTGCGCTCCTCGGATGGCTGGCTTGCACCGCCTGTTCAGCCTATTTGACCCTTGAACTTCTTCTGGCTGCCATGGCACGCAGCATGCTTCTAATTGCCGCGTTGCTGGCCTCAAGAAGCGTCTGCGGCCCGGTCCAGTGGATCCTCAATATATGGAACACGAAGCATTCTCGGAGCACTAGAAGCAAAGTACAAGGCCTGCCATGTTATCAAGTACCTCGATCTCTGCATCTCTCCGTGTACTGACTCCTGCCAACCTGCTTGTCACTTCACATGTTTTACGTCAATACCTCCATACTTGAGACAGGCGACGCCAAGGTACGGAAGGGGGTAACCGCGGGGCTGGAGGGGGAAAAAGTCTCTCACCACGTTGAGCCGTTTCCATGTCTCAGTGCAGACGAGCTTGAGCTGTTTCGAGAAAGCTTTGGTGGCCTATTCAGATACTCTCTTTGCTTGCAAGAAGGGAGCTATCCGTCGTGCAAGGCTGATGCCGCGACAGTCGGGTAGACAGGCATCAAACGCTTCGTTCCGAGATGCCGTCCGTCTTGCTTTGGCCAGGTAGCGATCCAGCTCTGAGCCAAAGCTGAGCAGAGAAGCAGGACGGAAGACTCTTTTCGTCTGTTTGAAAATCTCATCACTCCGATGGAGAAAAGTGTGTGCGAGAGCTCGGCAAGGTACAGCTGGGTACTTGTCGCAAGTCAAACTTGCCTCTTGAAAGTATCCATCGAAATGGTACCTTTGATGGAGGGGCAGATTGATAAGGTACCTTTTGGCTTTCGGCCCCGCTTGACTGTACTTGGACCCCACCAGACATTCCGAATGAGCTGGGCGAAGACGATGCGATGCGAAAATGTTCAGGCAGGTACGTACCGATGGATGGAGGGGGTGAGGGGGAGGGGGGACCTGGGAAACGCCATTTCCCATCTTTTGGCGGTGATGGTACCATAAGTAAGATTTGCCTTCCTTCTCACCGGGCACACAACGGAAGGTGAGGTGGTGAGGTTCCTGCCCACCCACACAGTAGAGCACCGTCCCCCTCCAACTCGATCCATCAATCATTCAGCAGCAGCAGCACCACGAGTGTGTTTCTTCCTGCATGTTTCTTGTCAGTCGGGCATTGTGCTTGTACGACCTCACTGCATTCCGGACGCAGGGTCCGTCGCAACCTTATCTACTTTACCAGGCCTACCGGGGTCCTCTCCTCTTCCGTTGTGTTGATGTTGTGTTGCTGCGTGAAGCTTCAGCTCAAGCGATACAATACCGAACAGATATCTTTGGCAAGCTTGGAAACATGGCAGCCGACTCAATAGGCCCAACAGACCATCCAACCGACTTGTCAGGGTCATCGGTGTCTCAATTTCCCTGGCGCGATATGTCGTTGATCTCTCGCCTCACCTGGGTATGTAGCGAGCTGCTAATTACCTTAGCTTACAGAGAACGTTTGCTACTTGTACTTGTACACCTCGTCATGCCGCTGCTAGAACAAACAAGACAATTCTTCAACGCCAAGGCAAACGTGTGCTAGTGCAGACCGAGGTGAAGAGAGATACGCCAAGTTTGCGAACGCGCCGAGTCCGCAGTCGAGGCGAGGCAAGGCAAGAAGAGGAAGGGTCGTTGGCGCAGCGCCAGATAAGCATGATAACGATAGCAGTACCTTGTCTCCAAGGGTCCTGGCTTCCAATCTTAATTGTTCGGAATACGGCAACATCATCACATTGTTCAGTCGAGAATACCACAGAGCAGATGACTCGATATTGAAGAGTTATACAGGCAGATCAGCACGCAGACAGCTTGAAGCAAGACTAAGTACGG